AACCGCTGAAATATTCACACCCATGAAAGCTATCTGTGTAGCATTTCTCCTACTTCTTGACTTTCTGAAGTTCTCTGATAAGGATAAGACCCTCCGGGAATCTTGACAGCCCAAAGATAGTAGAGAACAATGGAAACACGCCTAACGTTATATACATTGGACATCTTGCAGTTAATCCATGTTATTCTTTATTCTTTTTTTTTTTGTTTTCCAGAGACGAACATCTGACCAAACAGGTGTAGTACGTATCTATCTGAATTTTTTGAAACAAATCCACACATTTTAACGAGGTAATTGGTGGGAGGCCAAGTTTTAAAGGCTTGATAGTCGGTGGGGTTGGTGGTTAGTTAATCCTTGTTATTCGGACTTCCACTCTCTAGAGTTTTTGAATCATTGGTCAAAGATGAGAGTAATAGATCTTCTTTGCGTTGCATTTTCTGCATATTTGGTGCCCATCTAGAGTTCATGATGTGAAGCCTATATTGCGATGTCAAATGTGTAATGACTGAATGCTTCAAAGATTAAATAATTTTGTGTCAAAAAACTACGACAAGTAAAATGAGATATCGATCAAAGCATGGTGATTTGTAATGTACGTGCTACATCGATGACAAAAGTCACAGCTTTTCCCCCGATTTTCTATTACTTGCACGTCACAAAGACACAGTTCGAGTGCAAAAGCTCATTTAACAATTTCACTAGAGAAGAAGGGGATGTTTGATCCATTCTTGAGGTGCATATAAATACTATATATCTTTCAGGTGTTTATTGCCCCTATTTTACTTGTTAATTTGCTTTTGGGTTAAAAATTTGAGAACAAGGTTTGCTATATAGGAATGAAGAAAGAATTGAGAATTCCTATATTCAGCCACTCTTTTTGATCGTCCCTCGTTAAAACTTAAGGACTTTTCACCAAAAATTCGTTATGTCAAATTAAGCCACAAAAGAATACCAATATACAACTTTTCACAAGTGTACTAGAATGGTTGATTGTCTCTTGTAATTGATTTGCTGAGAAGAAAAGCAAGTCAGTTAAGGAATATGTATTTTTTTTTTCCCTTTTTCTATGGTCACATGAGGGGAAAATAGACTACAACGATCAAATCCCATTTTAGGTATCCCTTCATTGCTACATCCTTATATATTTGGCATCCTAACTAGTTAGCTTATATATATATATATATATACACACTTCTCAATTGGTTGGTTGTATGGGTAGGAATGGAGGGATTTTTGTCGGTGTTTATATCTCTCAGTAGACAGGCTGATTAAAGCTTGACGATATTGCCCAAGCTAAAGCTAAAGCTAAAGCACAGCATTACACATCTTTCATTCTCGATGAAGCGAAGCTTTATGATGGTCGCAATACTTTAGATGCTTAACAATTTTCATTTCCTTGACACTAATGAGAGGAAACAGCTGCATGCAAGCCTACGTCGATTATGTCTTACAATTTACATGCTATATGTACGTAAGCATATATACATGCATATACATGTATGGGCAGTTTTGCTTTTCTTGAATTTTTTTTAAATTATTTTTTTTAGCAATGGAGAACAAATTAAGAGGGATTTCAATACCCCGACCTTTGAGGTTAAAGTATGTTAACTTTGCCCAGGCTGTGGCAATAAGCTCTTGGTATTAGAAAAAGCTGAGCTGTGGGGTGTATGTAATGTTATAAACCCTCGAACGCATTCTAACAAAACTAATTGTGCCCTACCAATCTTCTTTTGGTGCCAGTCCTGCCTTTCTTTTTATTCATTTTCAAAGCACAGACAACTTAACAGATCGACTGCAGATCGTGCTTTTAATACGGCTTCGCATGCCTAAGAAATTTTCACCTCCTATGTTGCATATATGAGAAGAGAGCCCATTTGTGCCTGCTCCTGTAACCATGGTTTTCCAATGTAACTAATGTGCCTTTATGTTAAAGTCTACAGATCACTGCTAATTTTTTAAAGGGGGGAAAATGATAACCATGAGATGAGATAAGACTTTCTTGAATTTGTTTTTGAGTTACTTCAGAAATCTAGATTCTAGAAGTGATTCTATGAGGTTTAAGAGCCCAACGACATGGAACCCTTGCTAACAAATGGGGAAAAAAAAAAAAAGGGCAGACAAAGAATTCAACGGTTTTTAAAAGAAAAATAAAAAAAAGATAAAAAAGTGATTGAAAATAGTTGTGATTGAAAATAAAAAGATAAAAATGTTCTTCTTAGACAATAAAGAATTACGATCGCGTAGAATAGATTAATCAATCCAAAAAAAAAAAAAAAGGTGATTAGAGAACAAGGGAAGTAACCACCAGCCCAAAAGGCTAGTGGCCACCATCAAGCCTTTAAGACTTGATAGGGCCCTTACCTCCCACTAATTGCCACATTAAAATGTGGATTTGGTTCAAAAAATCCAGACGAGTACCTAGTGCATCCGTGTGATCCGGTAGTAGTTCAGTCCCCTTCAAATTACTTCTGAATCTCCTTATGTCCACCCCCTTCCCTAGTATAGGATAGATTATGATATACTACAGTTATGGTTTCTAAAAAAAAAAAGAGAGAAAGAGAGAGAACAAGGGAAGTAGATTTGTTCCTTGAATAATAAGAGATCCGATGAAATAATAATGTCCTTTTTCACTATTGAAGGCACCTAACTAGATCCTTTCCAGACTTTGGCAATTGTGACGGAACCTCGTCTCTTGGACCTTACTCTAACATCTCTAAGTGATCCTCGCCAGTCTTAAGATTGTACTTGCTCCAGAAACTATAAATAAATAAATTAAAAGTCTTAGCCCTCAGATTCTACTGAATTACGTCTTCTTGCATCGTATAATTGAAGATGGTGTCTTGACTTGCTGCAGCCCAATAGACGTGTGGTAAAACTCACGGACACCGACCGAGAGACGAAAGCAACAGGATAACCCAGGCTAAGGCCCAAGCCCAACCCAACAGAAAAGTTCAAAAACAGAATGGAAGGAGAGCTCCCGGCGAGGATCGAACTCGCGACCTTTCGCTTACGAAGCGAACGCACTACCACTATGCTACGGAAGCCGGTGTTGTCCTCGTTTTCCTAGTCATTTGACTAGGGACATTTACAGGATACGTAAGGAAAAAAAAATTTGTCACGCTTTGGGATGAAAACTGGTGAGGTAAGAATTATTTTCATTTCTTTTCCACATTTTGCTTGCAATCCAACGTGTAGAAATTGGGTTCACGCACACGAGAGTTTAGATATCTCCCACCTAAAACATATTATTCATATTTAACTAATCAAAATCTACTGCAAAAATTAAGCCCTTACTTGGTGAGACACTTCTAATCCTTTGCGCCTACTTCTAATCCTTTCTCATCATCATCCATAACAAACTCATATTATTGATTGATAGAGGAAGAGATTCAAAGCGGTGAAGTTAGGAGATTGACAGAGGGAGAGAAGGAATAGTTTGGCAGTACTGGAAAACTGCTTTATTTCATGTTCATGAAAAGTTAGATGACAGAGAAAATAAATAATTAACAGTATATATGAAGTTATCAAATTTCATAGAAGAGACAGTCACAAATTTACTTTGACTGATCAGTGTAAACTCATCTTACATTAACGGCGTAGAAAAGATTTAATTTGAAATTAAAATTTCATTTGAAATGGCAAAAACATCGTAAAATTGAACACGTACACAAACAGGAAAAATAATACTTGTATCCTTTATCACGTTAACACTTACCAAAATTTAAGAATTTCAATACATATATTATGAAAAAACAAAGACTATGTTGCCTTGTTTTTTCTCTTTTTGGCCTTTCAATAAAAGTTTTAAACATTAATTTTCTTTTAAATTTTTGTGTCACGAGTTTCAATTTAATTGTGTAAAATCACAGCTTTTTTCTGAACCATGTACTTTAAAGGTACATGATTGATTATAAACATATCAAAAGAAGAGAGAAATATATGACAATTGTAAAATTATCAACCACCACTTAAATTGTGATTATTATTTCATGAAAAGAATATATCTGTTTCCGTAGGATAGTATAGTTAAGTGTTGGAGGGAAATACTAGTAAGTGTGTTTGGATCGCTGAATTATTTTTTTTAATATTTCGCTTGCACCATAAACATAATTTTCAATCTACTTTTTTATATTTTTAACTATCTTTTTATCTCACATACATTACATCATAAAAAATATTAAATTAATTATTTCAAATAATACTCTATCCAAACACACTTAATAGTACTTAATGTGTCTGAATAGGATATTATTTGGACATTTATTTTGTAATTATATATATTTTTTATAATTTGATATATGTGAGGTAAAAATAATTATAATCTCGTAAACGCAACCGAAAAGGTGTTTGTAATCCATATATTAAAAAAAAAAACCATGTAGTAGTGCATGTCTGAATACTCTTTTCATTAAACACGCGTCACATCATGACCGGCCGTGTCCGGCTTCTTGCAATCCCAATCTCACCGCCCCAATCCTCGCCGCTTCTCCAATTCTCCGTCCATAAATACAAAACCCCTTATCTAAACCCGACGTCCCTTCTCCTTATGCCGGCGCCCTTTTCCCCATCTCTCCCAAGGCTCGAACCCGGAAAAGGAAGATAACTCCCCCCCCCCCCCGAAAAAAAAAGGTCCAGGTTTTTCTCTTTCAATTAGCCCTTCTACCTGCTTGTCAAGTAATAATCTTTTAGTACGAGACGTAATCTTCGGGTCTGGTCTGGTCAGAGCGTTACTCGGGGTGTGCTTTTTGAACTGAGCTCAAGCTCTACCTCGGTTGCCGCCAATAAAACCCTAGAAAACTGTCCATACGTATATTTCTGATCTATTTTACCTTTTACCTCCTCAAATTTTTTGAATTTCTTAACTCAACAAGTCCTGTGGAAGAATCTAGGGTTTTTCTAGGAATGGTTTCAATTTTGATTTCTCCTCCTTTGTCTGCAAAATGGATGGAATTTTGGGAAATATAGTTTGGATGAAGTGATATGAAGTGGCGGTGCCGAATATGAGCGATGGAGGTGGGGAGAATGTAAAAGAGGGGGAAAATAATTTGAATCATCTCCATAGCAAGAAGAGTAGGTCACGAGCTGACGACTTCGGCCTTTCCATTGCTAAAGTTGCTGTGGCTCAGATATGCGAGGCTGCAGGGTTCCAGGGCTTCCAGCGCACCGCTCTGGACACCCTGTCTGATGTGGCTGTTCGGCACATTTTAGAGATCGGGAAGACTGGGAATATGTTTGCAAATTTAGCGGGTAGGAGTCAGTCTAATGTGTTTGATATAATTCAAGGGCTGGAAGATTTGGGTTCAATACAGGGATTTTCGGGTGCTTCCGATGTTGATCATTGTCTTTTGGGTTCAGGGACTGTGCGGGAGATGGTGCGGTATGTTGGAGAGGCTGAGGAGATCCCATTTGCTTATTCACTTCCTGGATTTCCTGTTTTAAAAGAACGGGAGCCTGGCAGGACTTTTGAGCAGACTGGAGGGAGCCCACCTGCTGAGCATATACCACCTTGGTTACCTGTATTTCCAGACCCTGAGACCTATGTCAGCCTGCATAAAATAGATGAGAAAATGGCACAGATTTGGGAGGACGAAGTCGGGGGGCCTGTTGAAAAGAGAAGAGAGTTGGATAAAACTTTTGCAAATTTGCAGCAGCGAATGGCTTGTAACGGGACTCAGCCATCCGTAGAGGTTGATTTTGGGAATGAAGCTAAAGAAAAGGGATTGGTGGAATGTAATCCATTTCTTACTCCACCTCTGCAGCATGGGGAGAAGGAGGTGTCTTTAGTTCTTCCTCCTGCTAAACTCTCGGACGAAGTCTTCCTGCAGAGTGCTAACCTTGAAGTTCCGGTTAGTCACATTTCTGCAATGGAGACATTTGCACCTGGCATTGAGGCGGTTAAGAGTGGAACATTTGATTTCGAAGATGGGAGGAAAAAGGTTCCTTTGAACGGGAGACCAAATGTGCGATTTAAGCTTGGAGGTGGCAAAAGGTGCTTGCGTGTGGCTATAAGCTCTCAGAACCAGGGAATTGATAAAAATTCCACTTGGTTTAGGAATGACGATGGGATGGATGACAAGAAAAGGCGGGTGGAACAAATTCTGAAGCCGTCATACGAATCTGCAGGAACTGACTCACTTGTAAATTAGGTGTGTTCATATTTGAACTTGTACACTTCTTCAGGGAACTGGCAATACATGCTGGTTCCAGGTTAGTTAGAATGAATGTATTAGAGTTGTCTGTATACAGGACTGTTAGAGACCGATGTTCCCACATATAACAAGTTCTTGGGGCAAGTCATTCTCGGTTGTCCTCGTGAACGTCTATCGATGATAATTCTTCGCAGTTGATATAATGTTTCTACGTTTGCTGTGCTGTGCTTTTTTGTATTTATGACCTGATAATCACAAAGCTAATTGTTACTGTTTAACTTTTGAAATTTTTGTCCTTTTATTCTGATGAAGTTATTGTTGCAAGGATTTCCATTTTCATGGGTATTTTAGGATTTAAGTGTACTTGAAGAGATCATTTCCATTTTCGTGGGTATTGCTAGAACAATGACTTGTCAAATTGCTATTGCCACCCCCAGTTTTTCAACATTTTGTTGGCATTTTTTGGTGTATGTATGTCTCTCTGCATGTATTGGAATAGGTTCCAATAATGTACATTGGCAAAATCTTTTGCTAGAAGTCTTCCAGAACTATTAAAAATTATAGGATTTCATTAACTGATAAGGAGTTTCTGATAATCTCTTTTCCTGAAAATTTTTGTTTTTCGGCCATTTTTTCTTGAAACCAACATGATAACAGCTATAACGATTTTGCTTTCTGTCTTTACATTGTCAATGCTACAACTTGGAAATCCCTTTGTTAGGATGCTTGCTGAAACTTGATTTCTCTGGTTAGTACTTGGCTAAAACTGAGCCATGTTTATTTGAAATGTTCCCCACCCCTGCCCAACACCCCCACCCCAAAAAGGAAAAAAAATTGTTGTGACAGGCGAAATGGAGCTGCAAATCCTGTATTATGTGAAAGGATCTTATATCGGATCCCTTGTTTTAGTACCTCTAGTGTCAGTGGCCTTGTGAAAAAATGTTAGCATATACCTGGGATGATCTGACTAGAATGCCCATATTTTCTATTTGATAGTGAGCAGGCAAGTGTGAGCAATCCTGACTGGTTTTTTGTCATACTTTCTGGGGGAAAAAATGGACGATCTAGAAGGGAATAGGACTCAAATGAGCTTTTAACTTTTTGTATTGCCGTCCTTTCACGAACCAAATGATATTCCCAGCTATACACAAGATTCATCCACAAGTGCGTATCTGGAACATGAAAAGGGGAAAACTCCATCTCATGTACGAGGATGTTTGTAGTTAGACGTAAGATAGCATCTTCTTTACAGGATGGCTGGTGTCTCGTGAGCAAGACTCCTAGCTATTTGGAACTGAATTGTGAGAAGTTGCAAGCAATGGTACCCATTAATGGTGGGGAAGAAAGAGAATGTTAAGAAAAGAACACAAGATTAACTACTCATTAGTAAATGGTTTTACATTGCCTTCCAGTCCAATCACACTGCCCCAAAGCCTGAGCAGTAATTACCTCGGTTATCAGGTCCTTAAAAATGAGTCGCTCCATGTCCAACACCACTGCTGGAATCAAACTTGGGTAATCTGCCCAGTCATCACGTTGTTGCATCATATCCATATATAAGATGCAGGTGGTTTCATCAGCATTATCTAGGCTGCAGTCAGTTTTTGCTTGGATATGATCCACCTCTGAATATAGCTCCCTCAGAAGCTCCTTCCCAGTCCCGTTTCTCTTTCTTTGCATGAAGGAACTTTCTGGAGCTAATTTACGTATAAGAATTTCATTTACAATATCAAATACCAACTTCCTATGGATTTTCTGATCAAGCTTTAAAGGAGCATTGCTCCGCCTGTGTTCCTCATTTGCTGACATGGTGTTTTCCTCAGTTTGTTCCAGTACATGGAACAAATCAGGATTGATCAAATAGCCTGATGAATGGAGCTGAATATCTGTTGATACTGTACATATGTCTTCAAGGAGACCCGACGCTAGTAATATCTTGGTAATGTATCTGTGATCCGGGCTAGGTCTCTCGCTGAGAGAATCGAATTCAAATGTGCTAGCTTCATCAGGAACTGTGTTCAGCAATCTGAGCTTATGAAGTAATTGCTTTAGGTTCTCTAGTTTCTTCTGATTGAACCCATCACCAAGATAATGCCATTCTGCTTCATCAGGATCTGGAGTCCTGTAATCTGTTGTTATGGGGACAATTAGGACGAGAAGAATAGTGAATTTACAGTCCTGAGAAAAGTAACTCTAAGAGTACACTGTCGTACTTATGTGTGATTTGGTTTATTTTGTAGTCTCATAGGCAAGGACATAATTTGCTATGCGGGTGTTACAGGAATTAAAACTGCTACCTTGAAAAACAGTTGATATCTTCTTCACAGGAGACAGTGAATCTTCTCTACAGAATGTTGCGTCCAGAACAGAGACTGGACTCGGTTGTTCAGTTGGGACTATTATGAGTTCAGCGAGTGGCATGTCTTCACCTAAACTAGCTGCACCATTCTGGACATATGAAATAAAAAATTGTCAATCTTTTTAGTGAATAATTCTTGAAAAATGCATGTATGTAGCAGAATGCCCATTAGCACTTACCCTTTCTTTTTGGTCTGCTTTCCGTCTGGTTCTGATCTCAGTAGAAGATCCTGTGCTTGTAATTTCTGTGTCAGTTTGGGAGGCTAAGCTACTGGTACTTTCAGATGGTATAGAAGCTGTATCACCTTGGTGACTGAATTCTTTGTTGCCAGTAGTACAGCTTATTCTGTCCTTACGGCGGTGCAAAGTTGATTTTGGTCTGAGTTTACTACTTGAATCTGGTTCGATGAGTTTGCCTCTTCTTTTTTCCAATTCAGGGGATGGAGTTGTCAGATGAGGTTGTGTTACAATCCCATGGTTCTTCTGTTGGAATCTTGGACTCACAGAACCAGAACTCCTCCCAAAGGCAACGTAGTTTTCTACCTTTGCCAGCTGAGGTGCTCTTGTTGTTTGCACTACTTTTGGAATCTTACTATTGATCTTCTTGTCTGTGCAAGATTTACAATGATGTGGGTTTTGGGGGGTAGTTTTCTTTGGTGTTAGATCTTTTGCTGCCAGTTTACAAACTGAATCTTTTCTAGTGTATAGAGTTTCACGAGTCCGGAGGTTTGGGAGATGTGGCGCATCAGCAGGGACCACTGACGTACCTGAAATCCTGCCATCGCCCATAGTTCTGGCTGGTTTTGTTATCAAAATTGAAGAGTTGAACCTCTTTGGAGAACTAGTCACCTTCTTGGAAGCCAAATGGTCAATCTTGTTGCTTTGGCACTTAAATGCTGTTGAATCCAGATCACTGCAGCAGCTGTAATCTGAGCTGTATCTGCTTGTTTCAGACCTCAAGTCAGCTTGCTCTCCTTCTTTGTTGTCTAACCTCATCCTTGTGTTTTGCATTGCTTCAAGTATCTGCTTAAGAGCTCTGAGATCCTTGCCTGATTTCCTGAACTCAAGTTCACTTATCCTTTTCTCAATCTCACCGTAAACTGAAGAGGATGTCCGTGGAGTGTCTCTGTAACTATTCCAACTACCTGGACCTGTTCTTGGAGAGTCGTTAATGGCATTGGGCTGCCTCCAGGATGCTGTTTCTAGAGGAAACCTTGGACTGGAAGTAGGTTGAATTCCCAAGCTGCCATTTTTGGATACTGGTGAAGCGGGATCCTTGTGCACCATCTGTTGGATTCGTAGTGGATTTTTCTTGCATTTGTCGGATTCTTTTGAAGATTTTGTGAAAAAATCCTTATCATGGCACGAATTATCTTTTATGGTTTCACCCTCATTATTGGAAACGGAATCTGGAAAAGCTTCCAAACCCATGAGCTTTGCAACAACACCAGATGCTCGCTTATTGCTTCCTGGTACTTGGTAGGCATCGACTATTTTGCTGGCAATTACGTTTTCCCCTTTTCGCAGTTCCCTCAAGAGGAAATTCAACCTTGGTTCAGAGGCAGAACTCAAGGAACTTTGCCTGCTGTCCAGTGACAACCTAGGTAGTTCTTTGAGCTTCGTGGCAGACTTTAATCTATTTCGTGTCTCTCTTTCATCATAGGAGAATCGAGGCGGTTCCTTTCGCTCCTGGCGCAGAGAAGCATCGCTCTCTTCCTTGCAAATACACGGAGAATCTTGAAGCTTAGCCAGACTGCGGCTGTCAAACTCTGCAACTCTGGGTTGTACAGTTTTGGGCTGCTGGAAAGGCCTTGGTGAGTCAATATGCTTCAATGTGCGGCCTCTTCCATCTTCTCTAGCTGCAGTTTTAATTGATATTCGCCGATGTTCTCTTTGCATGGAGTCCTTTACAACATCTCGGATATCAGGGGATTGCTGGCTGAAATGCAACGAGGAACTTTGTCGTTTCACAGGTATTTCGTTTGTGCTTTCAAGAAGATTATTTTGGGTGAAAGAAGGTGGTCTGCACTGAAGTGTTCTGCTATGATCAAGCGAAGAAAATGTAGATGAACAAGAAGAGGATGAAAAGGAGGTTCCAAGCGATTCAGTGGAGACTCGTGGTTGGTCTTGCACAACCTCCAATTTTGATCCCTGCAAGTGCAACATATAGTCAGTGCCTTATCCACCGTACCTGAACTCGACCTATGCAACCGTAAGAGGATTTATGTGGAATCTTACAGTTGTCTTCTCTGTTGCATTCTTGGCCTCCCCGCCGCTGCTGTCACCTTGACATGCAGAAAAACGTTGAAATGTCAAGAAACTGAAGAAGTTGATTATTTCTGTTGGATAGCGACCTCAGATTATGCTGAGTTAAGGCCGAAATGGTTATGGTGTAAGCATCAGTATATCTTAATTGACCTTGTAGACCACAATCGTAGGCTAGAAGAAATCTTCTTTCGTCACTACTAGAATAGTAAAGCTGGATGAATTACCTGTTAACTGAGAGTTTTATCTGTAGTGAATTAGTTTTCTGCATCTCCTTTTTTTTTTCACACGTTATACTTAGTCTGGATATTATTGTACTCGACAGTAGCAGTATCATGCTTCATGGTTGAGGAAATGTGAGGCAGCATGGAGGGATTGTGATGCTTTCAATTGCTTTTAAGAGTAACGAGGACTCAAATGTGTACAAGTACGCTAAATATTTCCGTTTGTGCAGTTTCAGCATAGAGAAAGGTACCTGGAAGCAGCCTTTTGTGATGATGGGCAGCGGAGCGTCGACCAGCGAGGAAGTAGTGGCGGTCAAAGAGCTGAAAGATCCCATTCATGCATCCAATCTGCTTCTGCAGATCTCTGTTTTCATCCTTGGAACGAGGCAGAATCTTTGCAGACATCTCTGTTTCTTTCTTCAAGTCAGACTACGGAAAATTTTGGGCTTTGCTGTGTTCATTTACTTCTTTGTCTAGCTATTTGAATCGATCCTTGACTATCAAATTTTAGAGGGGTTCCATGCAAAGCAGAATTGCTTCAGGCTTGAGATTCTTTCCAGTGAAAACAACATTCTAAAGAAGGAATTCTCTTTTGTTTGTGTCAAGGGTAAAGTTATACGAGGTTCTGCGGTTTGGAATGTAATATGCGAGGCAAAGCAGCAGCAGCAGCAGAAGAAACAGAGAAGGGTTGAAGTGCAGGGGGTAACAGACATGAGAGTTACAGTGCTTCAAATCATTAGAGCAATGACTGGAGAGGCTGTACGACTCGAATCTGGGTTCTGAAGCTAACAAATAGTGCAGACAATGTACGCTGTGATTCCACTTCCGCCAGGAATGATATATAACAAAGAAGAAAAACACAATGGACCCAAAAGTTAATCAGTATCCCTCCTGTTCCCCACCTGGCACCTGCCAATTTTGTGCTTCAAGAAAATGGATACCAGAGCGAGTAAACTGTGAGGAAAAAGGGAAGGATGCAGACCCAAGAAATGTTCTTTTGGTTATTCTCACAACTCACAGCAGCAAAAGGAAATGAGAGTTCTGTCTATCTTTGGCTTTATCAGGGAAAAGAGTAAACACAGACGCAAGCGCTTGAATCTTGATGATGGATGCCAGAGTTTCAGGGATCTGTGGTTTGCGAAATATATATAAAGGCTGCCCCTTGCAATTAACTAGTCATTGTGAAACCGGGAAAAGAGCAAACGAGGAATAGAATATATGTTATTCATGGTAGGAAGAAAATCAATGATGAAACAGGCAGTCGAAAATTTTTGCTCATTTTCTTGAGGGGTAGAATGTGTGGGACAGATCCAGTGTGAATGTTTGGGGTCATATCTGTAGTGGGGTCATTTTCTTTGGCTTCCATGTGGACAAGATAATGTGTTAGGACCTTTTATTGCAGGGTTCATGTGGAGTTTGTCAGATTGCGTAAGGAAAGAAAAGTGGTTTCAAATTCTTGCAGAGTCTCAGTGCAGCTTCGCTCACTCTTGTCCAAACTCCCAAGTCTCTTGCCTGGCATCATTAGGAGGAGATCTTCGAGCCTCGACCAATTCTCGATCCTTTCTAAGTCAGTTTTCTCGAGTAGTTTCCACAACTGGCTTGCTCCATTGTCCATGATACCAGTAGTTTCTTTTAGCAGGTAAAAATGATGTGAAAAACTCGAATGAGCTTCTCGAGTTGGACTAGTTTTAGGATTCTTTTGCCAGTAATATGGCAGAACCGGTTTTGCTTTGCATTTAAACGAAAACAGTTAAAATGGAAAAGAAAAAGGCACTGCTACCTTGACTCTTCATCCCTACAAAGCCCAAGACATACTTCACAGTCAAGTATTATCCGAGAACCACTACCCTAACTCTTTTTTTCTTGCCATTTGAGAGGGAAAATGCCATTTTTCCGACCACTGTCATGGGCTTTTCTTAAGGAAAGAGAAAAAGATTATACTTCCATTTATAGGAATTTCTGTCTGTCGATTTATGTTCCAAAAGTATTTTGCGTGTTTAACCTATCAAATATCTCAATCGTTGTGAACTACCAACGGGTTTGTTTGGATAGTGGATTATTTCCTCAAATATATTTGCTTACATCACCGTTACAATTTTCAATACAGCTTTTTATCTTTCCAATTATCTTTTTATCTCACATACATCACATCACAAAAAATACTACAGTAAAAATATCTCAAATAATTTACAATTTTAGTAACGGACGGCAAAATAAACCACTTCTGTCCACCTTTCCTTTTTGGAAGACTATCTTTTTTTTTCGCTTTCTTAAAGAACCAAAAAAAAAAAATGCTTCTTAAAGCCTAGAATTTAGGTGAGATCAAAATAAAAATAATAATGGCCAAATTAAATTAGAGAGCAGGATTTTGAGAGTCGTATATGTATATCCTCCGAACCTGAGCCCTGAGCCCTGAAGGAGGAACGATGTGGTCCATGTCCAACAGCAGCTGGCACACTTACTTGAGACTTGAGAGTATGGAAGACTATCTATTTCCGCAGCTTTGAAATTGACTTGCCTTTCCAGGGGTTAGGTGATCTCCCGACATTGCTATTTTCCATGTTGTCCGAAGACGTTTTATTGTTTTTTCTACTTCCTGAAATTTTACTTAATCTTCGTACAAAGCCGAGTAGGGTTGCGATGTTCCAAAAAACAACTCAATACTCAACGGAAATGTGTTAAAGGTCCTACTAATTTCCAAGCCCTGGAACTCCTCAAAAAAAAAAAAAAAAAAACTAATTTTTCTTGGGCTAGTATAATTTGAAGATGCTGTTCTGATGATTTGTTCGAACCAGTAATTGTCAAAATTAAAAGGAACAAAAGAAAAAAGCAAAAGAGAGAGAGAGAGAGAGAGAGAGGGATCTCGGTGTTGAGTTGTTGACAATTCAATTACGACTGCGGCGGCGATGGGACTGTCGTCCAACGAAATTTAACGCCAACTGTACGCAAGCCTGTCTTTGCAAGATGAAAACAGGTCACAGCTTTCATCCCTCGGACGGTACTTTATGGATGGAAATAATTAAAAGATGTCTTCGATTCATTTTCAGCAATCAATATCGCCTCTTGACAGTAAAATCTTTGGAAATGATGAAATACTATTCATTGAGTCTGTCTGATGAGTTTTTTTTTTTTTTTTTTTTGTAAATAAAAGTTTGATTATATCCTGTTCAGATCACCGTCGCGAGTTAGGACATATGATATGCTTTCGGAATCATAGATCGCTTGCAGGATTTTCTTTCAGCTCAACAGTGGGATTCGAATACGCAACTTTTTATTGTTAGAATGTGAACCGTCTTTATTAATTGATTGAGCCAACTTAATTCAACTCTTCCACAAATTATGAGACTCCAAATACTTACAACTTCCCTTTTGTTTTATGTAAACGTGGTTATGAAGTGAAACTAGCTACAAGAGTTCAGATGAATGGACCCAAAATCTAACCACTCCAGCGACAAGATTGTCATGGCTAAGTGATCCATCATTTTTCAAGTACTAGTATTTAAAGACTTCTGCTGTCAAGGTCATTGAACGGATGATGACTAAACCGCATCATCTAGCCAAGGTTGCAATAGCGCAATTACGCATGATAGCTGTCGAAGGAAATCGCTCAACTTCCTTAGAGATTTGGCTTTTAAGGATACTACTGGCGTTTTAATTGGTTCGCTCTTTTCTTTTGTGACGCCAATAACAGACACAGATATGACTTTTCCGGCCACCACATTAAACACATTGTCAAGAATTGCCTGCCTCTCGCCGGCCACTACTTAATGCTGCCTGCCCTGTTTGTCGCCATTTTCCTGCATGCCTTCGTCCCACTATTTAGTACAGTACCTACTATTGTCATCACCATTTCCTGTATGCGCATAAGTTTGTTCACCTGAAGACTCTTTTTTTTTTTGGGGGGGGGGGGGGGGGGGGGGGGGGGGGAGAGTGGGATGTAGATATAGCATGAGTTCTTGGAGCAGTTAAAGAAGAATAAAAATTTTTCGAAGCAAATCCGACTTTGACCTCAAAATAAAAGTAGAAAAAAAAAAAAAAGCTCCAACAGTCTGATTTCAATTATGAGTACATGTTTGATGACATGGCACTGAAGTATGGAGAAGTCCAGAAATATACTCTATAATTTTGAGTGACGAAGAAAAACACGAATTTGTTTGGACAGGGTATTATTTGGAATAATAACTGTAGTACTTTTTATGATGTGATGTACGTGAGATGAAAAGGTAGTTGAAAATAGAAAAAAAAATGAGTTGAAAAATATGTTTACGATGCAAGCGAAATATTGATATTTAGGATAAATTTACTATCCAAACAAATTTGTATTGAATCGGAGCTTCAATTATTGGTCGAACGTATGATGGCGTTTGAATGGAATAATAACCAATGATCAGTACTACTACATGATATCTGTTAAACAGTAGTAGCTGTTATCTAGTCAAAACACGGCAATATATATGTATCATAAAAACAAAAAAGAAACATTTTGATGCATGAACGATTCCGCGGGATGCCAAATGAATTTGACAGATTAACTGCAAATGGAACATGGGGTGCGCTGCTGCATGTTCCGCTGCTTGGGTGGGATTATGGATTTTTATGCTTGTATCTGCTCAGCTGCCTCGCTACACCATCCATGCATTGCAACTTGAATGTCTGTCCCACGCACCATATTGTGTCTTGAGAATCATTAAACAAGTCTTATTGATTTAATTAGCTTAATTCATTGAAAACCAAACCTTATCGCCTTAATTTGCAATTACCATTGCATTGATTGACAAATAATATAGTATTTCTCTTTGATTCGAGTTATTAATTAGTGCAAAACTTCTCCATCTTCCTCCTCCTTTGCCCCTCTTTTTTCACGAGTTCTGTCGATAGTAATAATATACTTCTAGCTTGTGCGACTTGATCAATTTTCATGTATGTTATCGCGATATTACAATTCAGCATTATAATTCAATTAGTTGTCAAATGGATACGTCTTAATCAATTCAATAACTTAATTAATACTTTCAGTACTTAATCTCAAATTTTCAGATTTCAATCTTTTCAAATGGACCCTAATTGAAGATGATTAAAATAATAATAGATTGACAGTGATGCTTGAGAGATATGAAGAAGAAAGCTAGGAGGGAGAGGAGGTTGGAACTTGGAAGGAAGCTGCAAGATCACGTGGATAAAGTAAAGAGAGTGCATGAGGGTTGCCTGAATTCCATGAGGCCCGAGAATGGCCAACTAACCAATCTTAATCACCCCAATACTATGTTCCAAGAAGCTCTCTCTAGCCTCTGCCCCATCGGTCCACCATAATTGCCACATGATGTTCCCACCACTCTTTCCCCACCAAATCCAACATGGGCTGCCTCCTCCTTCCCAACTTCTCCTCCTGCCTCCCCCCCACCCCAAGTCAATTCAGTAAACACACGATGCTACTAATTGACAGCAGTGATAAATATTTAGTCAAAATTACCTCCGAAGTGATGGCTAAAGAAAGTGATTGAAAAGCAGAGTCTGGTCAGATTCTTGCTTCGTCATACAAGAAATAATTAAGCTATTCACTCCTCTCTTCTGCTATCATGTCAAAGAAAATGCATCACAACAACAATAATGGAGCCGGTACATGGCGTGACGATGGTGTTCCTTGAAGTTTTAGCTAAACTGCTGCATAAGTCGGGGTGATTCCGTCTTAATTCTTATGACTTTCAATCACATGACAGCGAAGGAAGAGCATGAAAGGTTCAAAGGTCTAAAGCTTCACCTACTATTGGGAATTCCTTAACTTATGTCGGTGAAGAAGCTTAATAATTAAGTATGGTACCCCTAGTCCGGATTTGCTGTTATGAGCAAAAAAGCAGGCATATGATGAGTGAGTGGAGTCTAATTTGTACCCAACAAGTACAAAATCAAAATTAAGCAGCATCCTTAATGGTACAGATGAGTCTCAGGCACGCACAAACACCAGTGGTAGTAGTACTACTACACTACTATTTTCGTTTGAAAAGTGCCACTAGACCATGATCACCTTTTGCTTCTTCTCTCACGAGTGACATTGCCAAAAATAACCAAAAATATAAAAAATTGATGCAGAAGATAGAGAAAGATTAATTTAAAACGAGCTTTTAGCTGAGCTAAAATCTTGTTTGACATGTGATGCGAAATGCTCCTTTTTTTTTTTTAACACAGGAAGTATCTCAGTTTTATCAGATTAATCTCTTTGTACCTGTGCACCCTGTCCCTCAAGAATATACAAATGACAGAGAGGTAACACGAGCACACGATCTCGAAATCTAATTAGAGCACTCCAAAATCGTCCGAGCCAACCCTAAGGTGACTAGAAATACTAGTATGGTATAGAATAAAAAATAGAGCGGGCAATCGGAAGGAAGTCCATTGCAAATTCAGACAATCAATCAAGTTGCCAGATCATCGGAATCAGAAGTCACCCAGTGGGCACGTGCCAAGTTGGTTGGCGGGCGCACGCCACCTCGTCATCATCAATTCCTAGGCGATTCATATGAATCGCATAATCAATGGGCTCCTTCGGGATCTCAACTTTCATTAATTACTGTCATTAGCCAGCAGTAACGCCTTCTTGAACTCTGGATGATTATCAGCACCTAATTCTAGTTTACAACAGAATGAGCAGGCAACTGATTATTATTTTTTTCCTTTTGATAATATGTATAGGGTCTTGATTCTTGAATTACTTATAATACGGCCTGGTCTAACTCTAACCTTAGTTTAATACAAGTATTCTAGTACTACTATTACTTACGCCTGCTCCCACATGCAGCCCATTGGCTACGAACACATCCCAAAGCTGTTGCAAGATCTCCCAGATTCTCAACCCAATGTGTGGCATTTGGCATATGAGTAGAGTGGGTATATGCTTTGATTGATGGACAGTTACTTGCATGGTTCTTTCTCTCTTTCTTTCTGATTAGTGACAGGAGCATGTGAAATCTGAGAATGCAGAGAGAGAGAGAGAGAGAGAGAGATGGAGCGTCCAATGGATTTGGAGGAATATGAGGTCACTGTGAGGTTGGCGTCAGTACCTACTACCAGTCCTTTGCCCAACACCAACGCACACCAAGATAGATAAAGAAATGATTGCGAACGGACACAATGATGATATGGGAATGACAAAGTCATGGCCCAGTACACACATACAACCCTGCTCTCTGACTTCTTTCCGTGCCCCCCTCTGAATTACTATTCGGTAATCAGCTGATATTTGCAGTAATTGTTGAGAATGCAAAAACTTGTAATTGGGAATAGAAATGTAGATCGAGATCGAGCCACCACGAAGAAATCGAATTATACCAATTGGCCAGAAAGGCCAAATTAGCCAAAGTGGCCTCGTCGTCGTTCATTCAATTTGGCCGTGGTCTTATCTCTCCAGCTGAAATCATCAACCTATCCAAGTTATGTTATGGGATAGGGTTGTTCACCAATCAAGTCGCTCGCGATCGAATGATCGAGGTCGAGTTAATTAAGTCGAACACGAGTTCAAAAACATTAAACTCATTAACTCATGAGCTCAATTATATATATATATATTTTTTATTTTTTATTTTAATAATAAAATTACATATTATATATATCTATAATATTTTATTATTTGTTAAAAATTTATTATTTTATTCATTTTTAAAAAATAAAATAATTATAATTTTTTTATTTTTTAACCTCGAGCTCGAGTTTCATAAAATTAATTGGAGGCTCGATTCGATTAGGCCAAAACTCGACTCGTTTGCACTCCTATTCTGGAGACATGTCTTCTATATTTATTGTCATCCCTGCCAATATAATTAATATAACTGCATTGCGTCTTTATGATTCTCAATTATATTAATTGGACTACTTTTATCCGTTCGACAACTTCGCCTAACATTACAAATCAAGCACCGCTCATAATTGAATTCCGACTAAAGGAAAAAAAACAAAAAGGGTCCTAATAATTGAGTATCGCAGAGTCCACACACAAGTGCAACCATGCCATGCCTGTTGATTTTTTAGGAAACGTATTAGTAGAGCATTTGAACACTCCTTGTACTTTATATAGGCTTTCATTCCTAGTCTTTATGGTAGGAGTAATTGTTATTCTTCTGGGGCCGCTCTACTACTGCCGCTACTGTGTACGGAGGAGAAAATAGTGGGTTCAAGAGAATACTTGATTGTATAGAAGCGACGAATCAATGTCTCTATCGCTATGTGATTTCAATCTTGGCCTGGAATTCTGCTATACCATCACGGGCATCCCAACAGCGCCTAGTTACATGAAACCATAAAACAAATGGCAAAAAAAAAAAAGTTGCTTCCATTATATTTTGATTAATGAAACATCAAGGCACAAAATTGTAGCAGTGTGGCACCAAATGGACATACTAGACATGGAAAGATACTTGGAATTAAAATGCTTTCACAATACCCAAGTCAGACCGTGCACACACTTGCTGCAACAGAAAGCAAATTTCAATGGCTAACAACATTGGTGCATGAAGGTCAAGACTGGACACTTCTACTAGGACATCCAGCATTAAGAGCAAAATCTTCAACCATCACCAAAATATCAAAATTATGAAGCTGTATGGCAATATCCAAAAATTTCAATACAACAATAGAAGTTACAACACCAATGGCTAAATACCAAGATCCACTACTTTCACTGCTACGCCTAATTCTTGGGTATGACCACCCATAAGCAAAAACGTTCAGGTGGCGAGCTGGTAAAAATTTTTGTTGACTATGGAGCTCAATTAAACTCTATTGTGTGTTATTGACAAAAAAAAAAAAAAAAAAAAAATCTTCACCTTATGCAAGTTTATACCATGGTTTCTCCCCTTAAAACAGAAATCAAATTAATTGCCAAAACTCACTTGAGCAACACCAAAGGGCAGCTTCATACGTAAGAAAATGACAAAGGATCAGTATCTCTGATAGATTGCCCAGACAGCCTGTGGAGCACTCTGGAGTAGAAGCCCCATAAGGAGCTAGTTTCATCAATAGCTTTTTGACCAAATGGATGCTGCTCAATGTGCTTCGGTATATGTTCAGTTAGTGCCAAGCCTTCCAAATAAACTCGAAGATCACCTCCAGGTCCTGCATTGTGTTGCATATTTCTCTAGTAAATTTGATAAGAATAAATAGGATGGGGAGAAAAACCACAAAAAAGGCTATATCCAGAGACGATTCAACAAACATAGGGAAGAAAAACACAGAAACTTGGTGAAAGGTACATACCTAGAGAATTATCACTCGTGTCTCTGTAGCAGTAAGAATGAGGAAATATCCCAGTATGAATCTACCCAACATGGTTATAAAAATTTAGTGCAAAACAAAGAAACTACAAAACTTGCAATAACATCAAAATGGCATCAGTGTCTCACAGGATTGAGCAAGGCCTTGTATGGAGAATCATCCACCAGTAAAGTATTTGATTCATCATAATCTCCTTTCTCCCAAGGAAGATCAGGGTAATGTTTTTCCCATAGCTTTCTCAACTCTTTGCAAACCAATGGTTTATGCCTATTTTCTAGTGTTCTGAACCCTGTATCAGTGCACTGGTACATATCCTGCAATCACATGAAATCCCAGTTAATGAGGTTCAAAAAGAAACCGCAATCAAGGGTTCAACAGCAGCATGAAAACAGAATCAGCTTGTTGAAAGCTGTGAAATCAGTATACTGATACGAAATGCAATACTTTCTCTTACAGGTAAACGCGAATGCATGTATTTTCATAGAAGTGTAGGCTAAGTTTCAATTTTTTCAATTCCAATGAGATCAGTGTTATGCTGAGATAAACTGAGTAAATATCCACAAAAAGCTTCTCTTTAAACTCTATCAGCAATATCTAGGAATCATCACAAGACTGCACAAATTAGAAGTAAATAAAAGATTAAAGTAAAACTAAATGAGATCACGAAAGTGGGCAACCTGTTATCATGACCGACTTTTATCATATGTACCCTTGTATAGCAGCTAGATAATGACTGACACAGTTGCTAACAAGCAGAACTACAAGTAAAAATGAGGAAAGCTTAAGCAAGGCATAACAGCAGATTCTTGGGCCCAACTACAGACAGAAAAAAAGAGGCAAGGCTATCACTTCTTATTTATTTTTTTGGATTCTTGTTATTTCCTTCTTATTTCTTTAACTCATTCTTTCTAGGTTGTTACACAAACTGTTCGTTTATATAACTTTCACTCTCCTCTACAGATTTTTTTTCTTAAAATTGACAAGCCGTGCGTGGGCTGAAATTAAAACTTTGGCCTCAAGGATCAAAACACCTCCCTTTACCATAAACACATCACATTTCTTTAAAGTTAGACATTTTTTGGGGTGAAACGAAACAGGCTGCATTTAAAAAGGGCAAGGGCTCTTACCCAACAAAATAGCAACTTATGCTTCAGATCTCCCAACAAGTAGTCAACCACTCTATCAATGATCCTCCTGCATATTATCCATAAGTTAGTGCTCAGAAAATAACCGGAAAAAGATGCATGTGGGAAGGGGGAGAAAACTTACTTAGACCTTGAGGACCAAATTCCAACATCAAATCTCTCACAGCAAAACTTCAGAAAATCATAATAAAAAGGTCTCTTAAAAACTGCAGTAGCAAAAGAGAGAGCTCGTCAGATTTCAACCAATCTTCTGCTCCTCTATTTGGCTAAGGGATGCTTTTTCTCGGCAGCAAAAATAATTCGTAATTCTCACTTGCTCGTCCTGAGATGTGTGTGTCTGCTTTACAGTCCAGTGGCGGAGGCATGACTATATCTGCAAGTAGCCCATTTATATCAAGAATGAGGAGTTTTCTTCTTGAACATACTGGTGATCTTGCTGCAATGTGGCGTGGAACAACCAGTACATTGAGTCCTCCATTGGCAACATTGGAGAGATATTCTGCATTGTTCGCACACTGTAAGGGAGGTATTACTGATTCTTTTGTCATAGAAATCCCAGGCCCTTGATCTGTAGTCATTATTCGGTTTATTGTACCATTGGTTGGTTGATTACATGCATCAGCCAAACTCAGATTTGATAAGATATCTGCGTGATCCATGCCTTGGGATCCATAAACACCATCAACCTTTTTTGTCGCCTTCTGTTTCTTCTTTTTCTTTCTCATGCACACAGACTTCTCCAAAGGATCTGTGGTCGACACACTATCTGGCTTTTGGGGTTCCTGAGTCAGTTTGGGAGTTGAATCCACATCCAAATTGGCATCTGGCTTACTACCCTCAGGTTTTGTGCTAATGTGTCCATCCACATTCTGATCCACTTGACCCGCGTTTTGTACTACTTCAATATCAGTAGCCTGTCTCTTCCCCCGTTTTCTCCTCCTCCTCCTCCTCTCCTTTTTGGATGCTAGGTTGACTTCAGCAAGAGTTACACCTGAGCTTGTGTCCATCGAGGCTGGCATGATCGTTGTGTCCACACAATACAACACCTTTAAGATTGTTTGTAGCCTCTGATTCCCAAACAAAAGCCCGACTACCAATTTATCTGGTCGTGTGATATGGTATGTTTACACATCACATCCACTTCCTGTTTTGCGCTGAAAAAGCACAATAATTTGAATTCAAAATCAATCTAAAATGAAAGATATGTGATGATTATGTATTCCAACAAGCTAAAGTACTCTCAAGGATGAGACAAGGAACGATAATCAGAAGCATAAAGAAATAGAAACCAACTCTATAACCACACTAGACAATATTGAATAAGAAAGACCTCAATATCAGTATTAAGACCTAGGCAGGAGCTGAATTTTTGCATGAATCTTTCCCAAAAAATTCCAGTTAGATCTGGTGACATGATGTCCTTAATATTAACGTCGAAGACGACGCTATCGATATCAAATACACTATTGAATTGACATATTTTGGGCTAAATATAGACTACTCAAGGTTGACAGCGTCTAAATTCACTGACGCATGGAACACAACAATTAGTAGCAGTAACGAAGAACTTGATTTCACGTACTGAATAAGAATTTCATCACAGGACATATTCACGTGATGCAATAAACCAGGATTACGTAGTCAACAACAAAATTACCAACACCCAGCTTTGACGATTCTTTTCCAATTGTAAATCAGGCAAATTTTATATAACGGTTGCAAATTACAGATATAACAGGGGATTCTATAATCTACACACACACACACACACGCATGTCAATTTATATACACGTTCGTATGCATACTTCATTATAGACGTAAACTTTGCACGTTGTAGCAGGTTTTGAGAAACGACCAAGATGAAGCTCGGCTTTTTTATCCGACTTCAGCCTGGAGAGATTGTGTTAGGAAATTACAGCAAATCCAAAGTCTTTAGCATCTGCTATTACGATTTACGAGTATACAACATAAGCCGCCGGAGTAAATAGGAAGAAAGAGAAAGAAGAAGAGATCGATATTGGTTTGAAACGGACCTGTGGGCTGGGTGCCCGGAAAAGTTGGGCGTCGGCGGCTTGGACTGTAGGGATTCAGTTATTCAACAAGAAGATGGAGAAGCGCGTCGCAGGTTAGTACAACGTGTTTCGTACTCAAAAATTTTAGATTCCCTGGGTTGAGTGGGGTGGTTACGAAGGACAAAAAGGAAAAGAAGTTGGACTTGGACTAGAAGAGATCATGAGAATGAACTGGGGAGGCAGTTAAGTATATTCCCAATAGAATATGGACTGTCAGGGCCCCTAAGGTAATATGCCTATTGTATGCAGTACACAACACAAACAAACAAGTTTTACTTTTATCAGAAAACAAACCAAACCAAACCGAAAAAAAAAAAAAGAAAAAAAAGAAAAGATAGATAGAAACATTTTTTTCATTGTTTCTACTTTACTCTTTTATACTGTACTTCTATAGTGTTTGGATTGCATTTTCTAAGATTTTTTTTTGTAGAAAAATTACTGTAACGATTTGATGTACGTGAGAAAAAAAATGTAATAGGGAAATATGATCACGGAAAACGACGCAATTTTTCCGCGAAAAATGGCTTCACAACAACAACTTATTTTTTACATTATCTATTCTTTCTTTTTTTAAAAAAAAAATTCTAGTGGTTGTACAAACTAAATTTCAACCTAGTAAAAACTTATTTGACTCAACGACTTGGGGAAAAAGACAAATTGATTTGAAGAAACAATGAGACACGACCTAATTAGGCTCAATCTAAAATTTGGAAGAGAGTTGATGTAGGCCCATTTCCCAAACAAGGCCGTGTTCTAATTAGGCTCAAGCTTAAATTTGACTTGAACAAGGCCACATTAAGTTCTGGAAAAGGGTGCAGCCCATAGCTTATTGAAACCTGATTCAAACAAACATTCTCAATTTTGTGGCGTAGAGACATGTCATGTTGAGAAACTGCAGAGTAATAATAAGGTGGAGCTTTGCAGAAGAAGTGCACGTGTTGATCGTAAGGGTAAGCAAGAAGAGAAAAGAAAGAGAGGCTAAGCAAAGTTGCACGAGGAGTCCACTACGGGGATGAACGTGAGAGAATAATGAACGGTGGCTGATGCATCTCTCTGTTTTGCTGAGTGGTCCACTCCTCCAGGAGGCGGAAGAGGGGAAATCACCAAAAATGGCGGTGGTCCAGTCCATTCCTTTCCTCCCACCACCATCTACCTGGATCATGCACCAGTTGATCCTTTCAAAAAAATGGGGAAAGGAAAAAGGAGACGAGAGGCTAGGGTTGGACCTCTGATCAAAGAGAGAAAAGTGATATTAAAAAAAAAAAAAAAAAAAAAGGTCGACGACGTCGGTGCACACTGCACTTAGCTCACTGATTAGCTGCTACCCCCAAATAAAATCATGTTTGTTTGGGAATCGTCTGATTAATCACTGATTAGCAACATATATATCTCCAATCACAACCGGCCGCGCCTGAGAATTGCGAAGGTGCCACGTTTTCCCCTTGAAAAAGAGAAAAAAGTTTTCCTAGATCAAGTGCAGGAATCCAAGCACGGCCGTCGTGGATGCACATGATTGATGGCCTTTCTTAGCAGCAGTAATTTAGTACTAATATCAAGTGATGCGAGCATAATACTAATAAAAGCCATTGGGTGGACGCCCCGCCGCCCCCGCCCCATTGCTGAGGATCTCTGTCGGCCATCCGGACGGATTGATTTAGAAAGATTTGCTGCTAAACTAACCGAGAGCGGCGGAGTTCAATTCGTGTACGGAGTTGCAACATGTGGCACGGGCTCAAAACTCAAAAGTAGAGTAGCTCATGCCAATTGCCAAGCCATCCTCTCGTATCGTATCAGCCTTTAAAGTAGGAAACTAAAAACCGCTACTGTCCACCTTCCCTCAAGTATGCGTGTGGCATGTGGCTTAATTGGCTAGACGAGAAAAGTGTCGCCAGACTAGTCCAATTTATTGGAAGCAAAGAAACATGGCCTCCAAATTCAGGAAGCTTTAGCACTTTTCTATACGGTGCCTCCCTCTCTATACACTCCACCGTATGGGACCATGCCTGACGCGATGTGCATCCTGCGGGCCGCCTTCGCTTACCCGCTCCGAGGAATATTGTGCTTCCCATCTCAAAGAGGGACCCAAAAAAAATGAAAAAGACGGGGAGGCCGGGGTTGGTGGCGGCGGCACATTGATTGGGTCGACTTGCTTGTTTATTGGCCATCCCAAAGTTACCACTTCCTCTGGGCTCAGAAAAAAAAAAGTTGCCGCTTCCTCTTTGTGGGCTACGCTAGTATGTGTTCCTCTTATGAAAAATGGCTTTGATAATTTGTTACGGTTTTGACATACATCAAGGTGGTATGTGTTCTAAACATTTTAAAAAAAGGTAGTATGTGTTCTCCTATTCAATATCCATTAAAAGTTAATGAATCATGAAAAATACGTGTCACTCACATTGAGTGCAACAAAATTTCTAAATCCTTGTATTTTACTTCTTTTCTTCCGTCCCATTCTGATAGTCTTATTTTTTTTCTCACATAATTTAACGTCATAGTATAATATCCAAAAAGAATTACAGAATCTCTCGAGATCATAAAATTGAGGTGCATGCATGGACCACCGTGCTGGTATTCTGTACCAGTACCTCATGTCCTGGGCCTGTGTTTGTTTGATCCCATTTCCCAACTCCTACCTCATACTTGATGCTTCATCTTATGGGACCCCACAACTTTTGGAACAAAAAAATTAACAAAAGTTAAATTGAACAATTTAAGGAAAAAGATTAAGTACACCATAGACGTACTCGGTACTTGTACTTGTACGGTTGGTACTGAACGAGGACCAACAGGAAAATCTTTTTTTTTTTTCGGAGACGACAACAGTTATATAATCCAATTTATTTTACACTATTAAGGGGGAGGGAGCGGATCTAAAGAAATCCATAAATTATGCGTGTTTGTCCATAAATTATACTCCTTAAAATTTATTAATTGTTAATTGATTTATAGTACTTTGTCATTCATTGGATATGTAGCACAAAGGGCAAATCTCGTACAAAATTCTAATTTCAGTTCCTAAAATAATATTTTAATCATTTGGACTAAATTTGCAAAGGATTAGTAACCTCAGGGGAGGTCAGTGTAATTTTTCAAACCACAAGGGGAGGTCAGTGCAAATGTCAGAAACCTCAGGGGAGGTTTCTGCAATTATCCCTTATCTTTATGCCGGTTGACCTGCAAATCTCACACAAGTAATTCAAAAGAGAAATAATCTCCTTCCTCCCGCCAACCACAAACCACCAGAATTATGACATTATTGTTATCGGACTATCCTCCTGCTACAACAAAAGTAAATTAGAAAAGCGCACCAATTAATTATGTTATCTTAACCAACAACAACATTCCATTGCATTTGCATTCAAGTTTCGCCAACTTATTTTCAATTTTCCGAAGATCGTACGGAACAGGAATACCATACTGTCAATTCAATATATATATATATGTAAATATTATCTGCACTCTTATTATTTATTTTATCATATAATCTAATAAATAAAAATTATATCATTAAAATGATAATACGAGTGTGATTAACGAAAATGAGATTGCAAATAATATTTTTCAAAATATATAAATTAATTGTAAAAGTAAGTAAACTGGATTGATGGTGCAGTACTATCAACTATGGTTATACTTGTAGCTAATGCCATTTTAGATATTGCCGAAAGTTTCCGTTACCAAACCAAATCACTCCACCCCCCCCCCCCCAGCTCCCAACTCTTCGGACGTGGTCAATATCGGTTCCTTCTACTTCAACGTCAAATTATCCTTTTGACCAACTCCTCCCTCCCTAGTCCCTTTCTTTTCCAAAACTTTTTTATTCTAATGGTATGTTTTTGGTAAGATGTAAAATATTTTATGTTGAAATTATTTTATAGGAAAAGATTTGCATTTACGGTGTTTGGTTGCAATTTGAAGCTTTGCTTCTATCATTAAAATGTCAATGACCAATCGCCGCCACCACTGTTGTTCCCTGCCACCACCGTGTTGGAGAAGGAAAAATCAAGTTGTTAAAAAGAAGAAAATTCCATTTACATCGAAAGTTTTTCGATAATGAAAACATTGATTAGTTTGTAACGAGTGAAGATTCAGCAAATTACCTGACACGCTTTTGGGGTCTTTCGCGTCGTCATCTGGATTGAATGTTCTTCTATCAACAAATGACAAGAGTTTCAACTTTATCAACGGATGCATTGTTTTGGAAAACAACTTCAAATCCTCATTTAAGGATGCTGATTTACATCGAAATGAGGAAAATAATTTCTTGCGTAAAATATTTTCACCAGTTCTAAGACAACCAAACACCAGAAATTGTGAAAAAATATTTTTCGGAAAAATATTTCCGGTCCAAACAAACACACCCTAGGCCTAGAATCTTTTCAAAGATAGAAAATTCTAAAGCCATTACAATTCAACATTCAACAACCACGGTGCATCAGGAGTATATTTATTGACCGGAATAGGAAAGAACTTGTTTAGCAGATACAAAATGACCAACATCACGTCCCAATCCCAAATACTAATAGCTTTTGCCCACCTCACACCTTTTTTTCATTTTTTTAATAGAAGTAATGTGAGAATTTCATAAACCCCACTCGCCCCGCTCCTCCACTTTCCCTACTGCTACTGCCTAGCGACTCCTTATCCCCCGCCCCCGCCACCGTCCAGCAGAATCACATTTATTCATAACCTTCCCGATTAATGATACTTACTTATATCTATATCTATACCTGTATCATCTCAAGTGAACATTTCCCATCACAGAAGTACTACTATTATTCAAAAAAAGGGGAAAAAAATTTTATTTGCTGCATGTGATCAATTGCTGAAAGAGCTGCTAATGGGGTTGTGTTTTTCGCGGAGGGCGACGGTGAGGAAGAAGCAGTCGAGACGGCTGACTAACCAGTCGTCGTCATCGGCTGGAAATGGAGGGAGTAATAGGTGGTCCAGGATTCGGTCCACTAAGAAAGAGGAACCCATCATCCACGAGCGAGCTTTGGCTGCCGCGATCCTCTTGCAACAGGAGTTGCAGAACTCCGGCGCCGCCGCCGCCGCGCCTTTTGATCGGTCAACTTCTTTGAGGTATCCCAACGGAGGAAGCGCTAAAAGGAATCAGACCTTGCCTAGGAGTTCCAGCTCCAGAGCCCGCTCCCTTACTGATCCTTTACTGCACCCT